AAAAAAAAAAAAAAAAGAATTTAAATTTAAAAGTCACTGACTTAAAAATAAATTATTCAGTAGGTTCACAGGGCTTATTCTGGATAGAGTCAACAGGATGTTCTGGCTGAAAACGTGAAATTTAAGCAAAGCAGACAGTGAGGAGCTAGCTATGTGAAACGTTAAGGAGAGCATTCTAGGGCATGGGCAAAGGCATCAGATGGGTCTTGGTTAAGGAATGGAAAGGTGTGCAGCCCAAAGGAGAGTGATGAGTGATAAGATCAGATAACTGAACTTGATTAGCCTCTGAAAATGGTCAAAATCTATCTAAAATTAGCCCTTCTTTAGGTTATTTTTAAATAATCACTAGAACAGCAGACTAGCTCCATACAAGAAATTCAAATAAAAGGAAAAAGTTAGAATGTATTCGAATTATGTCCCATCAATATAAAAATTAAATTTCTGATGCCTTGCTTAGAATTCTTGCAAACAAGAGATTATAGCACCACACACACTCCTCAAACATTCTCACTATTTACATACCCACCTAAGTTTCCAGAGGTGCTCAGAATTTACTTCACATTCTCTGGTGATGGATAATTTCCATGCTTTCAAACCACTTTTGCTGTAAATACCCCGAGGCACTTACTTTTGCTATAATAGACTCTTGGTCTCCATATTAAAGGCACAAACAAAGTACTCACAGAAAACTAAACACAGAATTCACTCTACATATTGGACTAAAAGAGACAATTTCTAGGTACTGAGCAACACATGATTTATGAACTTATACGAAAACTGATAACAAGGTATGTTTATGTTTGCGGCCTGAGAGTTGGCTAACTTAGGATTTCATAAGTGTTTTCTGTTCTCAGGTCATGACCCTTTGCCCAATGGTTTCACTACGGAGAATTTATAGATGTGATTGGAAAAAGATAAACCACAATAAATTCATCGGATAATCTATTTTTTTAAGTCATTTACTTAAGAAATTAATATAGAGCCCAGAGTCTAGCAGTTGGTCAGTTTTATTTCCTGATTCTGCAACCTGTGGCAAATGGTTTTCTTGGCACGTGTGACCTTGGAATTTTTGCCCATATTTACATGGACTGACAGGAGTTTAAGGCTGGAGGGAGGGTTTCTTTACGTGAGGTAAAAGGTCATGTCGGGCCAGCTTTTCATCTGTGTGTATATGTGGTTAGTCACTTCCATGTATATTCACACACTGGCAAGGGCTGGTATGAGCACAAAGCAGCAGCAAGTCCTCTCAGAAGTAGCACTTGATCTCTATTCTATAAAGGGTGCTAACAAGCAGAAATTGTGATCCTATCATTACTTGGTTTTTCATCCCTTCCTTCCCTATATAATAGGAAAAGCTCTTGAAATAGTCCATTTTGGTGGGGTGCAATGGCTCAACGCCTGAAATCCCAACACTGGGATGGTCTGCCTGAGGCCAAGGTCTCACCTTAGGCCAGGAGTTCAAGACCATCCTGGGCACCATGGTGAAACCCTGTCTCTACTAAAAACAAAAATTAGCAGGGAGTATTGTCCTAGCTACTCAGGAGGCTGAGGCACAAGAATCACCTGAACCCCGGAGGCAGAGGTTGCAGTGAGCAGAGATCGCTCCCCTGCACTCCACCCTGGACGACAGAGTAAGACTACGTCTCAAAAAAGAAAGAAAAAGCCAATTTTGTTTGGCAAACTCAGTAGCATTCCTTTGAGAAAACTGGATCCCAGAATCAGAACTAAAAATCATCACTACATGCAAGTTTTTAAAAAAGGAAAAGAACTATTTAGCCAGATGCAAAGGTATACATGACAAAACATAAAAAGTTTTTTTTTTTTTTTTTTTTTTTTTTTTTTTTTTTAAATTTTTTTTTTTTTTTTTTTTTTTGTTTTTTTTTTTTTT